TCCGGAGATCCTCCACCTTCACGCGTGGAAAGCTATCTCAGGAGGCCTCGCTCAGGCAGGCTTTCTAGGGACGTGTCAGATCGCATCGCTCGATCAATTAGGGCTTCCTCATCTGCCGTCTACCAGTCACGATGGAAGATTTACTGTGATTGGTGTGTCGGCAGGAAGGTTGATCCGATCAAGGCTACTGTCCAGGTGATTGCAGACTTCCTCCTTTGGCTGTTTAGGGACCGCAATCTTGCCCCTGGCACTATCGCTGGTTATCGCACGGCCATTGCTAGTGTTCTCTCTGTTCATGGTAGGTCGGAGGTAGGCTCGTCCTCCTCTCTTTCTGCCTTGATTAGGGGGTTTGGGTTGGACAGGCCTAGGGTCCGGCAGTTGGCTCCGCAGTGGAATTTGCCACTGGTGCTCGAATCGCTGATGCGGGCACCTTATGAGCCTTTAGCGTCTGCCTCCTTGAAGTTTGTTACCTACAAGGTGGTATTCCTTGTTGCCCTGGCCTCAGGTCGAAGGAGGAGTGAGATTCATGCCTTGTCTTCTCACCCCTCTTGCCTCCGATGGTCCAGGAATTACTCTGCCGTTACCCTTCTCACTGATCCTGCCTTTATGGCTAAGAATCAGGTTCCTGGCTTCTCGCCCGATCCGATTAAGATTCCGTCTTTGACTGCCTTCGTTGGAGCTGAGGAACGGGATAGGTTGCTCTGTCCCTGTCGGGCGCTTAGGTTTTACCTCGATAAAACCAGGGGGGGGCGAGGTCCTCGATCTCGTCTGTTTTTGCCCATTAAGCAGGGTCAACAGGATATCTCTTCTCAGTCAGTGTCTAGATGGATCTGTCAGGTCATCAAGTACGGTTACGACCACTCGGATGATCAGGTTCGGGCGTTGTATAAGGTGAGAGCTCATGAGATCAGGGCCCTTGCTGCGTCATGGGCCCTCAATGGGTCCCTCTTTCAGGAAGTCATGTCCGCGGCTTTCTGGCGCGAACAGACTACCTTCACGGATTTTTATCTCCGGTCCTTGGCTTCTCATTCTGATGGATTGTATTCCCTTGGACGGGTGGTGGTTGCACAGTCTGTGGCTGTTCCTCCACAGTAATTCAGTGATTTTAAATGGTATGCTATCAGGCACCACGGTGGTACACCTGCTTGTTTCACGGGGAGGTTTTCCATTTTTTTAAATACTTTCGGGGCTTTATTAGGGGGGTTCCTTGAACCTTTTCCCTACCTTGAGCATGTCTCGAGTTTGTTCCGTCAGCCTGGTCTGCCTGGATTCGAAGCCTCCAATACGGTAAGACGAATTTGCATACTAAAGTTATGGTAAATATTACTGAAATGAAATTGAGGTTTTTGAAGTAAAACCAATTTTCATGATGTAATACTTACCATAACTTTATGGAGTCCCACCCTGTATTCCTCCCCTTGCCTCCTCATCCTGGCTGCCTTTAGGCTCCATAAAAGGGGGTTTGAGGAAGGGAGATCACTCCGTGGCTCTGTCATCGAGATATAGGTTACGTCACGGTAGGGAGGTAGGGATATTTGAATCTTTTGTTTTTGGGCTACAAAGATGGGTGTAGGTATTGTATATGCATGATACATTTGTTTTTAACGGAAATAGCACTTTTTAAATTTGACCCTTACGGAAAATCAGAAGTTGACTTTTGACATGATTGTTTTAATTAATATCGATTGCAATTTATTGCGATAAGCTATACTGATCAAATAGCATTGCCCTGGGCCTCTTGGTTATTGTGGTGGGGTCGTTTTAAGATTTTAAGACATTTGACTCCTATATACATTGAAAGTAGGTCAAGGTCACCCGTTTTTGCGTTTTTACAAACTTGATAGCCATCACCTGAGCACTTTATATATGAAATATCAAGACCCTAGAATTTTAGAAGAAGATATTTAATGTTTGTTACCCGAAAAAGCACCTTTGAAATTTGACCCCTATCGCAAACCGAAAGTTGACTTTTGACAATTTTTGTATTGCAATCAATAGCAATTGCTATAAGCATGCTTCTGGGCAAATACCATCATCCTGGGTCTCTTTGCTATTGAGAAGAAGCTGTATACAGATTTTAAGACATTTGACCCCTATGACCTCGAAAGTATAAGTCAAGGTCAATCATTTTCACAGACTATATAGCCAATCATATTATATTTAAATGTGGTACCAAAAATAGCACTTTTGAAATTTGACCCCTGCCGAAAGTTTTACACATTTTTTTTTGTTCCTGAGACAATCGTTTCTGTTGTTAGTGTTAGAAACATATCCTATGATGAATTTAATATGTTTAGCCATTAATGATAATGGTCATTAAGGTAAAAATGGATATGACGTCATGGCGGCCATTGTGTTTTTTCAAAGAAGTCAAGTACCTTACCAAATTCAAAACACTATCTTGGGAATCTGTTATGCGATTAATACTCTGAAAAATATCTCACAGATATTGGAGAAAAAACGATTTTAACATATTGTCAGGATTTCTAAAAGATAAAAGGACATTTTCAAAATGGCGTACAGTGCAAACGGATTAACGTTTTAGAAAAACTCCAGACATCAACTTCATCGGAATGACATACTGCATATAATTCATTTTTTATTTTTTTTCAAAAATAATGAATTATATTTGATCTTTTTGTATTAACATGTAATAGGACACAGTAAGCCCCGAAGAATATCTACAAATAATATTATTGCATGACTGCTGTACGTTCCAAAGATTTTGATTTAATGCCATTTTAAGATTTTGAACTTTGACCTCATGGCGGCCGTATTGGATATTTGACCTACTTGAAAAAGTTGCAATGACACCTTTTGACCTTGGCCTACAGTATTCTTACAAGACTGTTAACACATCTGCTACCAATCAAAATATTAGGATGCCACGAACTCAGGGAAGAATACTTATAAGAAACATAACAATTCCAATCGGTCTTTTCACCATAAGCTAAAAGCCCTAATAATCGTAATCATTCCATACACAAAGGCCCTTTGTCATCATGTCCGTCCTTAAACAATTCTTGTTATCAGTATTTCTCAAGAAGTACCAGAGGGATCTTTCTCATTTTTTTTTTGTAGGTTTCCCTTGTTCCTAAGCTCTGCAGGGTAACTTTGAGACTGATCGGATAAAAAACATGGCCGATACGCAGCCATCTTGGATTTTGATATAGATTTTTTTTATCACTATTTCTCGGAGAAGTATCGGAGGGATCTTTCTCAAATTGTATATGAAGGTTCTCCTTGGTCTTTAGCTGTGCAGGACAGCTTTTGAGACTGATCAGATAAACAACATGGCCGACAGGGAGCCATCTTGGATTTTGATAGTGAAAGTTTGTTATTGCTATTGCTCGGCAAGTATCACAGGGAACTTTTTGAAATTGTATATGCAGGTTATCCTTGGTCCTTAGCTGTGCAGTGCAACTTTTGAGACTGATCGGATAAACAACATGGCCGACAGGCAGCCATCTTTGATTTTGATATTGAAAGTTTGTTATCGATATTTCTCTAGAAGTACCAGAGGGATCTTTCTCAAATTTATATGCAGGTTCTCCTTGGTCCTTAGCTAAGCAGGGCGTTTTTTGAGAGTGATCGGATAAACATCATGGCCGATAGGCAGCCATCTTGAATTTTGATATTGAAAGTTTGTTATCGCTATTTCTCGGGGAAGTATCGGAGGGATCTTTCTCAAGTTTTATATGCAGGTTATCCTTGGTCCTTAGCTGTGCAGGGCATTTTTTTAGAGTGATCGGATAAACAACATGGCCGATAGGCAGCCATCTTGGATTTTGATATTGAAAGTTTGTTATCGATAATTATCGAGAAGTATCGGAGGATCTTTCTCAAATATTATATGCAGCTTATCCTTGCTCCTTAGCTGTGCAGGGCAACTTTTGAGACTGATCGGATAAACAACATGGCCGACAGGCAGCCATCTTGGATTTTTATATTGAAAGTTTGCTATCGATATTTCTCTAGAAGTATTAGAGGGATCTTTCTCAAATTTCATATGTAGATTCCCCTTGGTCCTTAGCTGTGCAGGGCAACATTTGAGACTGATCGGATAAACAACATGGCCGACAGACAGCCATCTTGGATTTTGATAATGAAAGTTTGTTATCGCTATTTCACCAGAAGTACAAGAAGGGTCTTTCTCAAATTTTATATGCGGGTTATCCTTGGTCCTTAGCTGTGCAGGGCAACTTTTGATTCTGATCGGATAAACAACATGGCCGACAGGCAGCCATGTTGGATTTTGATAGTGAAAGTTTGTTATCGCTATTTCTTCAGAAGTACAACAGGGATCTTTCTCAAATTGTATATGCAGGTTCTCCTTGGTCCTTAGCTGTGCAGGGCATTTTTTGTGAGTGATCACATGACCAACATGACTGATACGCAGCCATCTTGGATTTTGATATAGAAAGTTTGTTTATGCTGTTTCTTGGGAAGTATTAGAGGGATCTTTCTCAATTTTTTAATGTAGGTTCCCCTTGGTCCTTAGCTGTGCAGGGCAACTTTTGAGACTGATCGGATAAACAACATGGCCGACAGGCAGCCATCTTGGATTTTGATATAGAAAGTTTGTAATCACTATTTCTCAAGAAGTACTTGAGGATTTTTTTAAAAATTTATATGGAGGTTCCCATTGGATAATTATTTGTGCAGGGCAGTTTTTGAGACTGATTGAATAAACAACATGACCAACAGGACGCCATCTTGAATTTTGATAGTGTAGGTTTGTTACTGCTATTTTTCCGAAAGAACTAGAGGGATCTTTCTTAAATTTATATGTAGGTTCCCCTTGGTCCTTAGCTCTGCAGGGAAATGTTAGAGACTGATCGGATAAGAAACATGGCCGACAGGCAGCCAGTTTTGATTTTGATAGTGAACGTTTGTTATCGCTATTTCTCAGGTAGTACGGGAGGGATATTTCTCAAATTGTATATGTAGATTCCACTTGATCTCTCGTTGTGCATGCTATATTTTGAGACTGATCATACAAACGAAAGGGATTAAAAGAAGATCTAAACAGATATTTCTCATATTGCAATAATCGATTCTATTTCTTTCACTTAATTTAAGTACTGTACTTGTAAATATGTGAAATGACAAACTCACTTTGAAGGTTTGCTTTCATACACATCAGTATTAAATTTAGATAAAAAGTTACCTCAAGATGCATTTACAGTTAACATGACTCGATCAAACAGATGAGAGGAAAGAAGAGAAACGATTGAACTGAAAAAGAACTAATGAAGATGGTACAAAGGTGGGCGCCAAGATCCATCTTGGATCTCTTGTTAAATAATGCGAGATACAGTAATTATATAATTGCTAATATTAACAATAAAAAATATAAAATGTAGCGACTATCATCAGCTGAAACCAAGAATGATTGATACATCTGTACGCATAAAACAAAGTTTTTTAAATGTTCATTATGTAATGTGTTAAAACCAGGGCAGAGAAAAACAAATACAAGTATAGTTTAACTGTCCCTAAATATACTTCTCTACGCCACAATGTGTCACTTAAATCACACTAAATATTTCTACACATTCATCCTTTTTTATAAAATAAATATGAACAAACGATTTTGTCAGCCCGGTATGTTTCTTCCTCTTGAAGTGAATCATATATTGTGTTTCTATGATCAAGAAATCACGTAATAAACTCTAAACCATAATTTGAGTAAATAATTTAGCTCCTATTCAGAACAAAGTAGATTTACTTGTTTAATCAGCCGCTACACTGGATACAATATTCTTTATAGCCCAACTTCGAATTCAAACCAAAACTTTATTGTAACGCATAGTTACATAGTTAGTTATTACTATATTTCAGTTCCTCCTGAAATAGACAGCCTTGAGTACAACCAAGGTGACGCTGATGTGACTGAAGACGGATCTAAGACTCTCATTTGTAAGGTGGAGAGTGTACCATCGCCTACAATAGCATGGTACTACAAAAACAATCACACAAAACTGTTTACCGCCACAGATGTACTGGAGAGTAACTACACCCTGACTACAGCTGGCTGTCTGGACACAGGGCTGTACACCTGTTCTGCCAGGAATAGTGTATCTAACACAGCGGTTACCAAGGACATATGGATCAACGTTTTGTGTATGTTGTATTTTCTTCATTGATTCAAAAACAACGAAATTAATATCTGACCGAACATTTGACTCTAAAAATTATGATTATTCTTTAGTCATTGCTTATATATATATATATTTGTTCTTACTAAGAATACCCCATGTCAACATTATGCTTGAAATAAACTTTTTTTGCAGCGTTTCACTTGAGCAAACGCGATGACCGCCAATCTTAAGCTAGAACCTCTATAGTGATCGAAAAAGTAAGCAACCGATACATGCACATAGTACAAACACCGATTTTTATATTATTCATCGAAATATAGCGGCACATCTATATTATTCGATTCAATCACAGATAATATTGTTTCTCCGTAGGTCAAATATGTTTAAAATAACGTTGGCAAGTTTTTCGTTAAAATGAAGTATTTTTTTAAAAAAATATAAAAAAAAGTATAACTTATCTTTCTGTCGCCTGCTGCTTCTACTCTCCAGATTGAGTGACCTAAGATCTAAGTCAGTGAAATATTCAAAGGTTGATAAAGTCATTAACACCACGTCGCCAAGTTAATAATTTACTCTGAAGCAAGTTCAAAACTCAATGAACTTCTATTATCCATTTAAAATCTACAACCATGTGTTTCTTTCAATAAAAATCGACAAACGTCTCTTCTCGACCATTCAGATCTCGAATAATCAGATGTTCCGACCGTATCTCTCGACCAGGTGTCAAGCTCACCAGTGCTCCTTTAAAAGGAAACCGGCCAAAAACATAATTGAAATTGTTTTTCCGAAGTAAGATATTACAACAGTGCTTATTTCGAGGAAGATACTGGGAGTGTTCCGTTTTATGGCAACAGTATTACAGTCTTCGGTGAATTTACTCAAAATGATTAAATCATTTTTATCCATATGAACAAATGGGAGGTGTTTTAAATCAAGTGCCAAACTTTCAGTTGAAAGCGTCGTTTTGCCTACATTTTTTATTGTCTTCTTCAGGTTTTGTTTGCATGTTTTAAGCAAGGACGCTTTCGATTTTTCATGAAAAATCATTCTTAAAATATTGCAAAAACGTCACTATTTGCCTTATCCATACCCCTACTCATAAATACAACATTCTTCATACTTTTGTTATCAAAGGGCGATGTCAGCGGTTTTTATGAAATTCAACTATATAGAGAGTATTTTTTATGAAATAATTTTGCGTCACTTGAAGTACGACAATACGCATTTTACAGATTTCAAACAGAATTGACAGAGATTACGATTTAGAAAAAAAATGATTAAATCATTTTTATCCTTATCAACAAATGGGAGTAGTTTTAAATCAAGTGCCATGTTTTTCCTTAAAAAAGAATCCCACCCATCCCCAGAAATAAAGAATAAAATGAATTCTTATAAATAAAAATATATTGATCAAATATTTCCAATTCAGAATAAATCTAATCATTAAAAAAAGTTCAACTGTTAGAAAAGAAAAAAAAATCCTGAACTTTGGTCCAGATCCGCTATGACACTTATATGTGTATATATTTAGTCAGCACTTTGCAGTTCTAGTTTGTCCGAAATAACGTTTTCGAGGGAGTGAAATAGGATATAGTAAAATTGTGTCCAAATTAAAACATGTCATGAAGTGTTCCAGTAAGTGAAACGTTTCTATAGTCTGACTTTTTACTTTTTGCAATTTATATTGTTTTATTACCAATACGTTCTGAATAAGAACATATAGGCCTAGATATTTAGGTTGTGTTTCATGAAACTTTATTGTTTGGTTTTATATGGAAGTTAATTATGGTTGGGTGTATTAGATAACGGTTCCTTAGACCTCTCAATAATATTCCCATTGCCCTTGGCTTGTTCTTAGGACTCCTGATCACTGCTGGTCACGCATTGTTTGCTACGTACACAGTGTGCCAATATAGGCGTACCATTCAGATAGAATAATTGATTGTAACAATAGCATAACACTAAGTAGTTAATTGGGCAGTGAATTCACCAGGATGTGGCAGCTATATGGTCAGTTTTACCTATGTTACAGCTATATAATGACACAGGGCACATTCATTTTTGTAAGATATTGACAGAACAACTGGCATTGTTAGGCGCCAAAAAGTTGCCAAAACTATTTTGTTATCGTCAAAATATTATCATTTTTGGATTTGGTGCTATTGGCGACCGCTGAGGTGAACCCTGCACTATTGTTTTCGCTTTGTAACTAATCACGTAAGTAGAAACAACGTAATCACGATTTGTTCAGAAGGGAATTAATTCAAACTGTACTTAAATGTCTTGGTGTAAAATATGTTGAAATGTTAATTGTGAATTCACTTGAATGATGGTAACGTCGATAAAACACGTTGTCATGTAAATGGCGTACTCCAAGGTAAGCTGTTATGTTAACAACGTCGTTAAAGAAAACGCAGTTAGTTTGACAACGTAATGTAAAGAGGCCGAACAAGTTTAAGACCGTAAAGAACACGCCGCCAGCTCATTACATACCAAAGGACCTTATAAGCTTGATAACGCACTCTATTGTAAGCCGTACGCTCCAATAGGTCGACTGAACCCGACCGCAAGCTCGAAACATAATTAAGTTTAGCTAACAAGGTTCATTACGTCAATACTCAGCACTAATACGGTGGAATCACGTGATTTTACAAGGGGTATACGGGTCAATTGTCTTTGTATCTTGCGACCGGGCAACGGGAGACAACTCGCATTCGTCGTCTGCTTCGCTGTTTAAAAAATGGCGAAACTTTTGCTTCGCATACTGATGAGTAAATACTCGCCAAAAGGACTCAAAGGGGTAATAAATTCGTTGCACGGATTTTTGGCAGGGCATATGGCCTATCGGCCTCAGGAAATACGAAACCTTTTAGGGTCATACCATCCCGTATACTCTGCCAACAATCCGTGTTACTCATATTACGGTAAAGAAAACAGTGAATACAAGATGTTATATTTTCGTCCACACTTTTTAGAAATGAAAGAAATATCAGAAATAAATCCATTTTATAAATTGATCAATACAAATTTAAAAGCTTTCTATATGAAATTGAAAGTTCTCAAATAGAAAAAAAAAACACCAATAGAATCTTTATGACAAGTTTAGTTTGGTAGTAGCTCCACAGAATCGTTTGACGTCCAGGTAATCACAACAATAAAAAATGTTTCCTTTGGCAACCCATACCCACATTCACCATACATCATTATAGTATCTTAATGGCAATTAAATATTAAATCATATTTGCATGTGGATGTGCGGTAGTATGCGTGTATATATATAAATGTCTGTGTGTGTGTGTGTCTACATGTGTGTGATACCAGAGCAATACATAGTTTTATTTTGTGTCTTTTTTTAAATTCCATCCCATCTAGGTTCGCCGCGCCTTGATCCGAGAGTGTTCACAGACCGAAAGATGGGGTTGGCTACTCATGATAATCTAACTATGAATGCCATGTTTCTGTCAAATCCGGAACCTTCATCATTCACGTGGACTTTCCAGAACTCTTCACATACTTCTTTTACTGAGCTAAACGACGGGACAGACAACTTTGTTATACATAATACACATTTTTCATCGAACCTCTCAGCTTTGTCAGTGGGGACACGTACGAACATACAAGAGGCCTGGTTTGGATTATATAATGTAACGGCAACAAATAGTAAGGGCAACGGGACACTCACTTTCACAGTTGCTGATAAAGGTAAATTAATAATATTAGCACAAAACCGGCATTTTAAGTAATTCCAGTCGCTTTGCCTTGTTTTTCTCTTGGCGTTTTCGTTGCATGCTGATAGTGTATACAAGACCATAAGCTTTGAAGATGCAGTATCAATTTAATCAACACATGCAAATTGACATTGTCAAAGCAATCCTGACGGCTTGCCTTTTTGATTTTTGAGTAAGTAGGTATTTACATAATCCAATCCTGATTTTGATCTTTCGCGTATGGCGAAAAATGGAAAATGGGTCGAGTTATGTAGTTTTTACGTTTTTGTAACCCCGGAAATCCTACTCACTGAGGTGTGAAACTACCATGTGTCATACACTGAAACGGTCTATGGTCTAAACGTAATTTAAAAAACATACAGTACCCAGGTTTGTTAAGATAACTGACATATCACTGATGTACCTTTTGTATCAAATACTGATGAATATGAGCAAAGCAAAAGTCACAGACACCTAGCAAATATTATCTTCCTGTTCTGGTACGTGGTACCCTGGGGGACCCCATTCCTGACAGTTTACAGTCATTGTAGCATGTTTTAGATTCCCTATTTTACACGAGTGTTCCGGTATTTTTAGTGTGTACTGCCCTATGGAGCAAACGATCGTTAAATTTTTCGATTCTGAGCACGTTTTGTGTAAGATTAATGGATCGTCTGCACATGGTATTGTTGGCACGATGTCATAGACTCACAAGAACCTATTTTCACTCTAAAATATATCTAAATGCTGCAGTCGAATTTCCTTGATTATCACCCATAACATGTATACATCTGATTAATATATTGTAATATTTGTCTA